CCACGTCGGGGTGACCTGGGTGCTGCTGCCGCTCGGCTTTCTTCAGCTGGGGTGGCAGGAGCGGAGGGCATGCTGCTGAGTTTTATATTTTATTTGCGCAGCTAAGAAGTTGCCTGGAAAAAAAAAAACAGTTTAGAGCAAAACATCCTTAGAAACTTTGGAAACTATTGTGAAAAGGCAGAAAAGTCTCTTTCATTTGGGGGAATAAAATAACAGTTCCCAGCATTGACAGCAGAGACCAGTGCACTGTTTCAGTCTTTTGTCAGGTCTTTTGACATTGCTTAGACGGGGACTTGCTTCATTTAGACTGAAAAAAATCGCCCGAGTGTACTGGTTAGTTGGCGCAGTGTGCTGTAAGGGCTTTGCTTTGTCAAGCTTCAGTTCCTAGCTGTGCAGGGTCTGGTGCTCTTGGTTGGTGAGAAGTGATTTGGTGGAACTTAAGCACCACTCGAGATAATTTTTTCCACCAAAATTTTTTATGGACCCTTGGGAAGCAAAAAACCCAAGCGGGAAAGACCTGAGCAGCCAGCTCACTGCTGAAGTACAGCGGCATGCTGAGCATCTGCCTGCTGCATGTGAAATGGGGAGGGGGACGTTGCTCTAGAGAGTCCTCTCTGCCAGAAACTTGAGCTTCTTGGCACTTAGACACTTTGTATTTGGAGACTTCAACACTTAATCTTCTTCTCTCTTTATTTTCCCATCTTCCTTTGGGTAGTTAATCCATGAGGTCCACGTTATTGGCCGGAAGGGGTGCTTCTGCATCTGCTTCATCCCTTGGAGGATGCGATAAGGTCTTGGGATGGAGGCCAGCAGTGACCAACATGTAGGATGGGCGAGAAAAGCAGGGACTGTGGAAGGGAGAAGAGGGATTTGGATTTTTAAAAAGGAATTGGCGCGTCCGTGTGATGATTGGCAGGAACTCATTCCTCCTGGGCAGGAGTTGAATATCTGCCATTGCTGGACACTGCCAGTAGGTGTTGCTGTATGTACTGCCTCACAGAAATATCTTTTACAGGACACAAGGATAATGAACAAAACAGGCATTTGGAAGAAAAACTATCAATAAAGTAGAAAAGTACTTCATTAAAATTAACTGTATCGTGCTGCAATAAAACATTTCACTGTCACAGTTAATAAAATGTGAGCTTCAACGTTATGTGATGTATTTTGAATGTTTAGAAAGGTATAATATATTTTGGTGTCAAATTTACATTAATCAACCAATTTATACTGAATGGCAAACACAAACACCTTACTGTACTAGATGAATACAGTTTTTTTTGAGGGGATTATGCCTCCTGAAATGTAACTATTTTTATATGTGAACAATGTAAAATAAGGTAACTTGCTACACTAAAGCCTCCAGATTATGTTTTGATTTTATTATTCAGAAAATTATTGATCTGTTGTGAAGGAGAAGGTGTCTTACTCTTTTCCATTTTTTTTTAATTTTCATTCCATCACCGTTTTTTTTTTTTGTTTGTTTGCTTTATATTTTAAATCTTATCTAGAAAATATACAGAGATATTTTCTGGACTTTTTCTATTTGGGAGAGAAGTGAAAGGTTGGGATAAAGAGTTGGGTTTCATTTTTTGTATTTTTCCTGTAAGTTGCTATGAAACCTGTATGGATATGGCTTTTGGGTCTGGAAATTATAAAGTTGAGAATTTCACCTGACTTACACATATTTGGAGCCTTTTTCTCAGTGGTGCTGAGCATCTTGCAAAGAAAAGCATGCACTTTTTTCTCTTCAGCACTTACTTAAAATATTTGGGCATTTTAGCTACCTGTTACATTTCAGTGGCACATATCTTTCTGTTTACTTGTTTTCCAGTGCAGTCTTTGCTATCTTTTCAGCCTAATTTTCCTTTGAGACTTATCTTACATATTCTGCAGCTAAAATTTTTTGCACATTAATGATTTCACTTAAGATCTTCTTTTTGAGGCGGTACTCTTTTAATAGTATTTCACCTCTTTCTTCTTAGGGAGGAGAACCCAAACCTTTAACGATCATGCTACACAGACAAAATGATACCTTGGGATTCAATATTATAGGAGGACGACCCAATCAGGTAAAGAGGAAAGTAGACACAGTTTACTTTTTGACCATGTTTTCTGTTATTGTGTACACCGTTAGTAATAAAAGAGTTACTTTGGATGATGGTAGGTGTGGAACCAGTGCCAGGGTTTCAAGAACTGCATGTTATCAGGTATAATTAGATTTACTGTTTGAAGACCTGATCTTAGGAGAATTGGATTATTCTCATTTTCATGAAAGGGTTTCCCATTGTTTTTGCTGTAAAACTTTAGGCTGATCTGCATTGCATTCCCACGTGAGTAAAATGTATTCATGCAAACTATTCAGTGGAAAGCTCTGGGACTACTCATAAGAGTAAGTGTTGCAGGGTTAAGCCCTTGGAACTTTTGGGAATTGCTTACTTTTTTCATTTTAAGGAGAGACGAAAATTTGATTCTGTAGCTGAGATAGTTTAAGCACATGTCCTGTTCTCATATGCCTGCTTTTAATTTTTATTTCTTTGTGAACTGAAATACAGTTTTCATTGGTCTTGTATCTTAAATTAATCTAGTCTCACAAATCATCAGCCTGGCTTTAGAAGGCTCATTAACAATCCTAGGATATGCATAGGAATATGTATTTTTTTGCTTTCTCCTTCTAAAAGTACTAATCAGGACTGTCATTACTTATAAAGAGTAAAGAAACCTGCTAAACTGGAAAATTAATAGTTGATTAGAAATGCTTGGTAATAATTATGTACTGATCAGTGGTTTTTCTTTTAAGTGGGAGAACTGGAACCTCCTGCTATTACTGGGGATGGGAATGGGACCCTATATATTAGTTATGCAATGTTCTAAAGCTGTATTTATATATAAGCTATATATATATATATATATTTATATAAGCTTTCTCTCTATATATCTATATAGTTCTAAGCCTGTACTTAGTGGTGTCAAAGAGTCTGTTCCCATTAGCACTAAAGCCAAAGAAGTTTACTGTCTGCTCTGCAGAGTTGCTGCTCCTTATGGGTAAATACGAAGAACTGCAGTTATCAAATGTGTGTTATAGGAAATCCAAAGCAAGAGTTTGTTAGATTTTCTAGTAAAGGATGAAACAAAAGGAGACTATAGGATAAAATACACTCACTTCGATTAAATTCATACTTTGAATATACTAGTAACAAAGTCCAAACAGTATTTTGGGTTGCGGTGTGACTTCTGTTATTAACAGCTTTGGGAAAAATGCAGCGCTTTTGCAGGGCAAGGAGAGCATGGTGCTGAGTTTTTTTAGGATGTCATCTGTGTTCCTCTGAAGTATTTACATGCAGACAATGTGTACTGAAAACATTTTTTGATATTATGCATTATCAGGCTTTATGAATGAATATTCTAACTATTTTGGAAGTTTAAAGAGTAAGTGATAATTATGTGAAGGTTCTTAGCACTGTTCCTGGAGGGAAGTGCTGCTCAGAGAGCAGGAAATGGTCATGGTCCACCATTGACTAACACTGATAGTTGAAGAGAGAGAAGATGGTAGAGCTGTGAGACAGAGCTGGGTCTTGGGATTTTTTGAGTCTTTGATATGTTGAACTTGCAAATTCAGATTTGTTGTGTTTTATTCTTGTTGTGATGAGTACCACAGATGCTTGATTGGTAGTTCCTAGATATCAGTATAAGGTCTCACCCAACATGCTCGGAGCCAAAGGAAGTAACAGGAAAAAAAGCCTTTTATCTTTTTATTCGAAAAAAACCAAACCCTATTCCTCTTGCATTTTAGTTAATGACTATTATGCTTCTTTTATCACGGCTTCATTTGTCACTGCTTCAATGAGAGTTCAGTGGAGGCCTGTTTGTTTGTCATTTCAAAATATTTATGGAGCCATTAATAAGTTTATTTTACTTCTCATATGACAATTTATGTGCCTGTGTGACAAGGAAAAAAAGAGAAGTTTACAGCATCGTAGTCTGACTAGCATTCATGTTGAACAAATATTTGTTAAACTGAAATCTCTCTACTCTGAATCTGCATGGGGCATCTGCCATATGCTGTAAAGCACCTTGCACTGTGTCTCCAATTTTTGTTATCATTTTTATCATGTTCTTAATAAAAATAGTTCTCCCTGAGTGCATAGGACCTGTTCCTAGAAATCTGTATGCACGTGTTTCACAGTGTTGATTGGAGATTCACTGGTCACAGGAGGAAAATGAGCATCATATAAACTGCTGTGCAAAGCCTAAAAGATCTAGAAAAAGATTCCTTTATTTATAGCTGTATGGCTATTATTTGGATGAGTACTTTAAAAAGTTTAAGTAGGCAGAATGTGTTTGGCATTATTCCTTTATTGGTAATGATTTAAAAACTCTATGTTGGACGTTTGGGACTGTACTCTATCAGGCGATGAAATAATGGTAGCATGTGCAACAACATTAGGTGTATCGTTGCAGCTGTGGTAGATAAATTATCAGCCTCAAAGTTGATCTTTGTGTCAGTTGTACTTAGAAAGGTGTAAAGATAACTGGAGGTAGGTTCTCTTTTTGTCCATAACTGATCTTTGTAGATTTCACAGTTGAGCAAACTCTCAGTCTCCCATGTGAATAGGATTTATGAGGTCAACCAGTTCCAACCAAATCCTGTCACTGCTCTGTGTCGGCTAACTGATGTCATTTTGTATCTTGGGGTTTTATTTTCAAACCTAGAAAAAATTTTACAAACAGCACGACTACAGGATCACTTTCCTTTCTGCGAGGATCCTCGGGTTTCCATTTTTGTGAATGTTTTCCTCCATACATTTGCATACTCTCTGCTGTAAAGTGTGAGGTCTGCTTTACATATTTTAGCTAGGAGCTAATTACTGTTGCACCCCCCCCTCCATATCTCATTTGGACTAAAATAACCAGAAGTAAATGGATAATCTTGTCAAAAATGCCAGAATAGTTCATTAATTCTGTCCTTTTGATTAATGACTATTTTGTGTTAAGCAAGTTTAAAAATCCCAAGGAGTTTAATCCTCAGCTAAAAAAGCAAGCTGCATATTTCAGGTGGATTTGCATTTTTCCTTGCTGCTGATTTTAGTGCCATCTCATTTCTTGTACTAATGTGGCCATTTTTGCAACTTCCCTATCACCTGGTACAGAACCATCAGGAGGAATCTTCTGCTGAGGGAATTTTTGTGTCAAAAATTTTGGAAAATGGACCAGCGGACAAAGCAGAAGGCCTGCAAATTCATGACAAGATTATTGAGGTAAGAAAAGAAACAATGGATTAGTCTGCTATATTATCAGATTAATCTTGGATTTGATGGTTTTTACACTAAGTATGTTGTAATTTTCCTCTTTTGGTGTGTGTTAGCATGGTTCTTTCTTACACACTGAGCTGCTCAAACATTTGTCACATGTGAAGGCACATTATGTTTTTTTGCTAGAAACTAATAAATGTGTTGATCTCAGGATTAACGTAATTTAACCAAGGCAAAGCTGTAGACACTGAACTAGCAGGCAGGAGAGGTATTTCGTTTTTCTTTCTGTTAACTTAAGAAAAAGGCAAAAGACTCTATATAAATCCACAGTTTTAATGTGGAATTAATTAGTGTTGCCCTGCTTGGGGTTATTTACTCTGGTGATTTTGAGACACTTCACAGAAACTGCGCCGGTAAGCGATGTTGTAAAATTTCTTAACAAATTAGAGGCAGTACTTTTTCCTATATGATCAGATGTAGATCATCTGTTGTACTCACCAGGACCAACACAGCTCTTTCCAATCATGTAATATACTAGCATGGAAATATTAAAATCTATTCCTGTTTTGTAAGCAATTTTTCCCATAAAAGAAAATTATTATCAAGAAAAAAAGTCTGGAAAAAAGTCTGAAAAAAACTCTTCTTCTTTCCTAGCTTACATTTGTAATCATAATTAGCCCTGTAAAATGTATAGCAACATGTGGAAAGATTAGTTTCAAATAGTCGCCGAAAGAGATTCCTTGCTGTGCTGTCACAAAGTCACATCACAGCTCTGATACAGCCTGACTCCTTAGTGACAACACGTAACGTAGCTGCTAGTTTGTTTAGTGTTGCTCAGACTGGGTCTATCGCTCTAGCCTTGGGTTTAGAGAAGGCTTAGAGGCATTGCGTGAACTTGTAAGCCGGACAGAGTTTTAAACAAAGATAAATGAAACCAGCGGATTGAGGGACAAATGCAGAGAGCGGATGGGTTCTTGCTTTATTTCACAGTTAAGGGCTAGAAACATAAGCTGAGGCTGTTTGAATGCTGGCGTTGCCCTTAGTGGTGACAGCGGAGGGGGGTGTGTGAAGACCAATTATTAAACTTTTTTGGGAAAAGGAAGCTCATGCTCTTAACTGGCAGAAATAACATCTCTAGCAGAAACCAAATTGGCTGAGCAGAGCTGAGCTTGCAACTTGGCTGTTATCTCCCTGAGATATACAAAAAGGTTTCACATCCAGTTTTTTTGTAGCAGCAGGCCTATGCTGAGAAAATCTGTTTCCTTCTGACAGTACTATTTCACTTATGTTATGCTTTCTAGAAATTGACCTGCTGTAGAGTTTTATGCATTTGATCATTTCCTACGTTATTTTACTGTTCTTTAACAGTGTCTTGATTTTTATGACAGAATAGGATGCTTTTGGATGAAGGAAGAATAAATTCACAGGCCAGCATTTATTAAACTTGAGGGCATTTCTCAGAATGCCACCATAATTCATGCTTGATTTTTGTTTATTTATTTATTTAATAATTTTTCTAGAATTGTAGTTGTGTAAAATCATACTGATATTTAAGTTGCTACTGACAGCACAGAGATTTCAGTTCCATGTGAAAATATATGCCCAGTGTTGCATATATTTACATATATTCATACAGCTCTGAATGGGACACCATTTTTACCATATTCATATACAACATATTTCTGTATGGTTTTTTTTGTATTTAGCAAGCATTTAAAAATGTAGAGGTTCAGGCTAAATGTTTTACTAAACACATTAGTGCTTCAGAATTCATCAGACCAAAATGAAGAGAGGAGCATAAAAGGTAACATTAGACCTTCTAACTGAAGTGTAAATAAGTAACTATTCCTATATACTAGGTTCTATATCCTATATGCTTATGCCAGGCCAGCATAAGCAGCTGGAGTCAAAAGGCTGACATTTGTCCATATGTAACTATCAATGTCTTCTTGTACCAGGATGCCCTGACAGCACTACTGCTGGTTGGGTTGAAGGATCAATACGAATGCTTCTGGTGTGAGGGAATAAGTCAGATGGTGTAACTGTTCCAAAAATGTTAGCAGATGCACAAAATATGAGTTTTCATTGAGAGAAAATATGTGCCAGTTTTGGTTAAAAGTTGATAGAAAGTGGGTCTTTTTATTTTTGCTTGCTCTTCACTCATTCAGTCATCTGAGCTAATGGGCAGTATAGATGGGTATTTTAAGAGACCATTTTCCAGTAATCAAAAGCAGAAGGAACTGATGTTTGGAGATCATCTGATTGCTTCAGCCAGTTGTTTGGCATCGTGATGCTCTGGGTATTCTTTTTAGCAGCGCGTAGCAAATGGGATAATGGACAGAACTATCGCATTAAATCGGGAGAAAATCTGTTCTCAAGGCATGTTGCTAAATAAAGAAGGTAATTTGTTTCAGTGCTTTATCAGATGTTTAGCAAATGTTAACTGCACGTGGGTGACAAGAGAGAGTTGTGCATGTTTCAGATGACCACCTCATGTGTGACCTAGTGCAGCAAATGGATTTCACAGTAGCATGGTATTGGCAGCTGGAGTTGTGAACCAAATGTGGCAGACAGCTATTGCTGCATTTTACTTCATGTAGGTCATTGTCTATCGTGGTATAGCAGCAGCTTTGCCAAAAAAAAGTGATTATATTTGAAAGGGTGAAAAGGTGAGAAACCAGATTTCTTTCTTAAGGTATTTGATGTAGAAATAGTACAAAATTTTGGTAAAAATACCATTCAAGTGGCTTGAGTTCATGAAGGTTTTGAAGTCAGCATGCCTAGAGTATGGGCAGTGGGGTCTCTTTGGATCATCTGAAAAAAGCTGGAGTTTATATGGCCTTTACTGTCAGAGGAGCATACTTTTTTCTTGAGGACCTGAAACCTGGAAGAGATGGCAGTGGGATGGCAGGCTGTGCTGGGTCGGTGTGAAAGGCAGCCTGCATTAGGAGAGGTGAAGGGCGACAGCTGCACGCACCCTGTGCCTGTTGAGGGGGCTGCAGGACTTCACAGGGTGCTGTCACAGGACTGTCACCGACCGTTTTCACTGTTCAGCTGAGGAATAGAGGATTTCAGGCCTTTTTGGCACTTAACACTCTTTATCCAAGGTTAACTCATCTTTGAGAAGAGACTTGCTGGCTTATGCTGGGCTAAGCTGGCCTGGGACAGTGACATGCACAAGCAGCATTTTGGCATTACAGGAATCTCCCTGCAAGACAAAAAATGATCATTAGTTTTTTTATCAAGGGGAAAATTTTCTTCATGAATTACTTCTACATGGGAGGTTGTTCCAAATGTCAGTGTCTTCTGCTCCTTTCAAACGTTTGTGTCCAAAGGATCTAGCTCCCTAAATTAACACAGCACACAATTTGTTCTAGGACTAAATATTGATCACACACTGTAAAAAGAATCTCATGAAACTAGATGTAGCATTGCTATCTGTGACTCCCAACATAAATACAAGCAGTTTTATAAAAAGCCACCAGATTTCTGACTTTTGGATGTCTTTGCCTTCCTTCTCTCCATTCTGCCTATGAATCCCAAGAGGAAAGCGGCAGCAAGCAGTGAACAGGACTGCCTGTTAGTCTGTGCTGGCTCAAAGCATTCCCGCTGCTGCTGGGAGAAAATAGAAAGTACCTTTTGCTCTCCTGTGTGTTGAAAATGGATCACAGTTATAAAGCTGTGCATCATTTCATCTCCACCTCGCTTCATGCAAATCTTACCTTCTAAATAAGGTCACTGCTCGTCTTTACTAATGCTTATGGACTTCTCAAGACAGAGTATAAAACAGCTATGATCCTTGGCAATGTTGTTGATACATAGAAGTGTTTTACCTGCTGCTTTATCTAGAGAGATGTATATTTGTGTATACATATATGTGTGCATATGTGTGTATATAGATGTATAGTCATGAGCAGCGGCACTGGAACTAGGTCTTTCTGCAAGGAGGAAAATTACAGTCAGTTCAACTTCACATGAGACCGGCACGCTTGTCCAAAGCTCCAACTACACCAATATCCTGTGGGTAGTCGTTAGCTAATGTTAGAAAAGTGCAGGCACTGAGTGATGATGCTTTCCTTGGGAAGTTTACAGCAATGTGGAAGCCTATGTTCAAAACTAGTTCTTTACAATTGTTTTTATTTTTAGGCATAATGTTACATTTTACATAAATCGATATGTCATCTCTTCTGGTTTGAGCCCAACTTCTGAAAAAAACAGTGACTTAATTTTTCAAATCCTCTTTCATTGTCTAAGTCACAGTGTCTTGCAAAGTACCACTGTGCTACCAAAGTGAAATATGCTGATTTTATCTTTTCACTTCAGTGTCGTACATAAAGTACATGACCAAGCAGAATTTACAATCCAGATGGAATATATGAATTTGTAAAAAATGAGCAGTATTTGATCAATCTGAGGAAAAAAACCCTATTGTTAACTCACATTGCAGGAGATGGAGGCCTACACGCATGGCTGAAGTTCCTGTAGGAAATATGCCAAATAACAAAAGAGCGGTGAAAATCTTGTGTGCATGTGAAAGGGGCTTAGGCTGAAGATCAAAATATTCATATGAAGAAATATAAGCACATCATCATCTGGAAGAATCAAATATTTTTCTGCTGCTTGCTCTGTAAGACAAAGGCTTCTGTTATTTTACTCTCAGATGAAATGAGAATATTGGCCCTTTTGCATTTTAGTCAGTTGATTCTCATTAATTTGATGAGTGAGGAAACAGGCATGATGGAGGAGAGTTAAAAAACGTTTTTAATCTTGAGTCTTTAAGTCTTTTTGAAAAATGAGACGAATGCATATGTATTATGACTATGTGTTTTGTTTATGCAGCTTAGCTCCATAAGTATATAATAAATTAAGCTTCATCTCTTATTCCATGTTTCCCTTTGTTCTTTTCACTTTTTTGGAGAGTACACACACAATGGCTTTCAAGCGCATGTCAGCAAAGCCAGTTTCAATAAAGACAAAAAGTCTCGAGGCTTATACCGGCAGAAGAAACTTAAATCTGCAAAGCGCCTACACAGAAACTTTTTAATATTGCCAGACTGCTGACTGTGCTGCGTGTCAGCCTTGTGATGTTTTATCTTCTGCATGTTTCTGTCACTACACTCACTATGTTGCTCAAGCGAAATCTTTAGTTGTCATATTTGTTTAGCTAAGAATCTCCACTGTCAGAGGATGGCAGTAGAAGTAGGGAGCTTAAAAACTATCTTGCTGGGATCAGATCTAGTAAATTTGGGATGGCTTTGAATCAAAGCTGCACATGATATGACCAGTGAGATCTGGGTGGTAGCTGAAGGAAGTTTTTGTGTAGGATGCACAGATAATTTTAGTGGTGTGAGTTTTCATATACCTAAATCCTCCCAAAGTGGCCTTACGTATATTAAACTCTCTGAAATCCTTGACAAATTCATAATGGCTGGCACCTGCATTCATTAGATACCTTCTAATTAGTCTGAAAGATCCCTGGCAGAGTAAATTAGGTACACTACGGGCTTAGAAATGCGTGTAGCCTCTTTTCCCCTCTCGCTCACCTGCTGAGATACACGTTTGTGGACACCTGAATTATCTCAGCTCCCTGAAGATGCTTAAAAAGTCAAATGTGAACAGATCTGTATCTAGCGTCACTTGATGTGCAGCTAGTGCCCCCACTGACTTTTTTGCCTAACAGAAAGTGTTAAGAGTACTTCACCGAGAAGTGAGAGATGTAGGTTACAGGCTTTCCTCTACCTGCAAAGGATTGAACTTACATATCCAGATAATTTCCCTCGTTACTAGGGCAGAGGCTATCCTACGTGCAACCAGTCTCCACCCATCTTCTTGAAGCTGAGCTACGTGCCGGCAAGCGTTTGAGAGTCCAGATTATTCAATGATAATCTGGTATGAAATAAGTATTCATTCCAAGCAGCCGGGTCTAGAGTGCTGGCTCTGCCTGAGATGAGTGCTTGTGCCAGCAAATTAGTTTACCTCTTTCTTGTGTGATGTCAGTTTTGTGCCTTAACGTGATACTTTCTTGAATGATACTTACGCTTCTGGTATTGTGATATCTTGGCTTTGGGGGGTGGGTGAGTAGAGAATGCTATTAGCCAGGATATCCTATGGTTAGGGCACTTTCCTAGATAGGAAAAATATGAGTTCCCAGGCTGAATAAGCACCAGTAGCTGAGGTTTTCCATTTCCTGGTGTTTGTCTTAGCTATGATGTTATAATAAAAGCTGGTTACTGCTGCTGGTGTCCAGCCTCAGAAGGCTGTACTGGTTGGATCTCATATAGATGGAGGAACCTAGTGCTCCACCTGCTTTCTGTGCAAGAAACTGACATCTAGCTTTGGGGGCCTGGAATACCTGAACTTGCACTACGCTGCCCCAGTTCCTGAACATCAGTAGCATGAATTTGACTGGGCTCACTATACGTCTCCATGGGTGCCTATGTTCCTCTCTGTTCAGTGAACTAAAACAAATGTTGTATTTGGGAAACTAGGTTGAGTTTCAGCTGAGAAATTTTTACTTTGAGAACTCACTGTGAAGCTGGCTTTAGAGAAGCACGTCTGTAGGTTCGTAACCCAGCTTTGTTCATTGGGCTTGCTCTCACAGACAACCAAGCATGCATGCAAGTAAAATGCCAGGTTGTTTTTTCCTGAGTAGAAGTAAGGATTCTATCTGACTTCACTTATCTCATTCCTTGCAGAAATATGTGTGTTCACAGTGCCTTTATCTGTGAAAGTGGAAATGCCAAACTTGCAGTTGGAATGTGGCTGACAGGCAAACCCTCCAACTGGTTTATTTCCTGGATCGGATGTTCAGGAGATACAGCCATATCATCTTTTCCAGCAGGTCTCTTCAGCCAATGGCTTGTGAATCATAGCTGTTATATAAGGTGCAGCCAGCTGGTGTACTACACCTTTATACATGCTTGGGTGCTTCTCTGCAAGGGGTTCCCAGTAGGCAAAAAGAGGGAGATACTGGGGAGGCTTGGGCAAGGCACAAGACAGATGTGGCAGAAAGAGCAGAGTGAGAGTGTGAGAGTACTTCTGAATTGCCAACCACCTTGAAGGAGTCAGGAGAGCAAGCTAAGTGGAAGTGGTGGTGAACATTACTCTGTACCTAGGGTTTTTAAGCTACTCCTACCATCTTATCTAGGTGGCTTAGATTAGGTATCATAGCAGGGGGACGGGGAAAAGGCATTGGGAGCTCGCATGCATGTGAGTGTGTGTAACCCCCTCTCTCCAGTAACTTATTTCTGTCTTGCTGTGACTGTGGTAGATCTCTAATGCAGCTGGTTCACCGCAGGAGCAGAAGGAGAAGAGTGAATAAAAGCATGTGAGGAAGAAGAAAAATGGGGGATGTTGACCCTTAAAGTTGGAGAGTACAAAGCACCAACCTTATATTTCCACAAGGGTGCTTTCTCGTGCCTGCCTATAAATATGCAGGGTGGGAGAAGTGAAAGGGATGTAGAAATAGGGCAATTGAATTGTGGAAGAGGAAGGAGCATGTATATGCACTTCCATAAGGAACATCAATATGGAGATAAGGTAGGAAAAAACTGGAGCAAAACTGTGATGACTGTACTCTATCTGCAGAGTGAGGCAGTAGCCAAGTTGGCAAGTTAGCTGTGCTGTTAGGTAGGAAGGGTTCTGGTTAACCCGTGGAAAAGCTGACTAACCTAAGATCCTGCAAGATCCCAGAGATGATGTTGCTGCCATGCACCACAGATCCCCAGGCATTGTGTAGAGGCCCAGTCACACCCAGCTCCTTCATAAAGTGTCTAATCCCAACCCTGAGGGATAATGTGTCAGAAATTTGGCAAGTTGAAACTCAGCATTTTCTTAAATGCCATGTTTGAGCTTGCCTTTGCTGTATGTCGTCTTTCTTCTCCTTCCCATGTCTTTTGCTTAGCTTTAGAATGAACCTTCCAAAACAGCAGTACTTTAACGCACATACTTCCATCTCGTTCAGCAGCAGGACTGGTACCGTAGGGTAGAAGGTTTGGGGTAAATTCTTCTGTATACAACATCTTAAAGGTGCTCATGAGCACTTTTAGGACTGTAGTAAACAACATGACTAACATCTGTCATATTTCATCCCTTTCCCAGGAAGAGAAGGGTATGTGCCAAGGAGTGTTAGGAATTTTTCAAATAGTTACATATACACACACTTGCATGTTGGTGTCTGTTTATGTTAGGGAAGACAGGGTCATAGAAATGTATCTTACGTTGTTGCTGAAGATGATGAGGTTTTGTGATGGAGACCCTTATTTTATTAGACAGTTTGATTGTAGTCTTGGTGTGGAGCTTTAGTCTCTTAGAGATATGGTGAGCTGGATCGTCAATATGGGGCTGAAATAACATAATCTGGTGAACTTCAGAGGGTATGAGAAGATGAAAGGTATTTTTTGATAACTTTCCATAATCTTGTCCATTGTGGTGTGAATAGAAAAAGTCAGAAGCTTCACAGACCACTGCTGGATTGATCAGAGGGAGGTAACCCTTTGAGATTCATATGATGAGGAGTAGTCGGAATAATTAATGGTAAGGCCAGCTATGAATAGCTCTGATAAAAGTTTGAGACCACGCTGAGTTTGTTGCTTAGAAGTTAATGAAGCCTGAGGAAGCTGTGCCTCCCGCAGCACATGCTGCTGGCACCCCAGAAAC